AAAATATATGATTTAGTCTGTCCTCCATAATTTTTTCTCCTCATTTATTTCATTTTTACACGTATCATACGTGTTTTTTTCTTTTATCTTTTTCCCACATTGCCATTTTCTGATTATGTATATCATATACTTGTACCCTTGACCTGAATTTATACGTTGTAAATAATTTTCATTGTCCTCATGTACCATGTATTTTAAATGGTTTTGAGAGAATAAATGAACTTGAACTTGGACCTCAAACATAAGCTTTCATATTATAACCCAGATTTTGGCATACAATCATTATTTGTCTAAAACTCTGCCGTTTTCCAAGCGCTTGTCTTGAAAAACATTACGCACATTCTCCGTGAACATTATAAAGATTTCTTTTAACCATTATATAGTTTTACTTTTCACATACAATGTACGTGTATTTATCAGATTAACTATATTTTTAACAAGGGTGTGTCTTGTGACTCTTGTGTGTTTGTTTGTTTTTATTTCCATATCTAAAAAAAGTTTTCAAAGATAAAAAACAAGAGGCCTAATAATTAGGGGCCTTAACGATCACCTGAGTATAATACAACAATTTCGAGGATCCATAGATTATCAAATAAATTGATAGATGAAACTGAGAAGATTTTTCACAGGTACAATGCATTTTCACTACAGATTCTGAAAAGCCCTACCCTAACACCAGAACCCAAGACCCAGGGTCAAGAAAGTTACCCTTATCATCATAACTATGCACTTCAAAGAATTCACATTTCCTCTATATTATCAAAAGCTCCCCCTTATGCAAGAACCTCTGACCCTGGGACCACAAGTTTAAAAATTCTCTTAGAAGCTACTTTTCCATCATAACGACACAATTTGTTTATCTGCTCAACACTAAGGAGCAGAGAGGATTAATCAATAGAATTAATGTATTTTCAATAGAGCCTCATCCTTACACCAGAACATCTGACCCAGGGGCCATGAAACTCACAATTCTAAAACAAGCATTGTACATAACTAACCAGAAGCAGAAAAGAATATTTCAAAGCTATTATGCATTTTTTATTCAATAATCAATAGAACCCCCTTCCACTAGAATCCCCAACCCTGGGGCCAAGAAATTTACAATTTTGTATGAGGCATCCTTGTTCATGATAACTATATATCTACTCAATTTATAGTTTGTTTAATACCCAGGAGCAGAGATTTTAAGGAATAATGTAATCAATAGATTACCATGAAATTCACAAATTTAAAAGCGTTATAAGTACATGTACTACGCGAAATTTACGCGTTATATTGTGCGAATTTTCGCGTTTATTCGCGGAAGTTTTTTTTTCTGATTTATGCATAGAGTGCTCTATTTCAGATATTTTATTGGCACAGAAACAATTACAGTCATTGGTAAAATTATACAATGTTGCAGACACCTGCAAGGTCTCCGAATAAATTAAGACCGGGATCGAGAATACAATAAAATTTACTCTTCGAAAACAAAACAAACATAACATCGAATCGAAACTAAGAACGAGTCAACGACGTAGATTAGATTGTCATTTTGTTATTTTGCAGTTGCAGCATGAATGGGGATGACAGCCCAGTTCTGCTCTATGCACATCCTTCAATGGAAGCATTAGCAGAAAATATTGCCAATATATGTTCTACTCGTCCGAAAGAACAGCAGGAGGAGAAGCAAGTATTCCGTGGTGTACGTTCTTTCTCAATTTCGGGAAGTGTCTCTAGACCCCGAGAAGTCCAGTTCAGAAAAACCATTAAGTGGAAATCTTTTCCAGATGGGTTTCCAAATTTGTTCATTGAGGATGTCAAATACATGGCAGGAAAGGATGTCATCTTCATTGGGAGTTTCCACTCTCCCGATATTGTTTTTGAGCAGCTGTCAGTTCTGTACATGTTCCCAAGATATTTAGCGCGTTCCTTTCACTTCATAATGCCTTATTTTCCAACTGGAACCATGGAACGTGTTGACACAGAGGGGCAGATAGCTACAGCAAAAACTATGGCAACATTATTATCAGGCATACCACTGACAACGAAAGGGCCAGCTCAGATTGTCATATTTGACATACATGCACTTCAAGAAAGATTTTACTTCTCAGACAATGTCATCCCAAGGCTTGAATCTGCTGTTCCTCTATTGCTGAGGGAAATGAAAACCCTGCCTGATTTTAACAGCATGAGTGTTGCATTTCCTGATGATGGAGCATGCAAAAGATTCCACACTTTTTTTCCTGGTGACGATCCTATCACCTGTGTTAAGATCAGGGATGGCAATCATAGGATTGTGAAAGTCAAAGATGGAAACCCTGCTGGAAAACATGTTCTTATCATTGATGATCTGGTTCAATCTGGAGGAACACTGCGAGAGTGTGCCAAAGCATTGTACGAGAAAGGAGCAGTAAAAGTCAGTGCCTATGTCACCCATGCTGTGTTCCCTAACCAGTCCTGGAGAAAGTTTATAGATTCTGAAGTCAAATTTGAAAATTTCTGGATCACAGATTCACTGCATTTTTTTCTCTAACTTCTGATTTATTGAACACAGATGGAGTTCATATTGACCCTCAATCGCTTAATGCGAGATTTAATCATCCCTCTGAACGTGTAATGAATTCTGACATAGGCAATGAAATATTTTTTTAAATTGGAATTTAGACTGTACCCCGTTTTGAATCCCAGACAATAATATTCTTACAAGAGATGTCTGTACCAATCCTTACTAGATATCGGATTACCCATTTAAAATAGCATTGCAAAAATGGGGGATCAATATCCCAAAGGCCCGAGATAGCAGAAATCAGACGAACATTATTTTGACATTTTGGCAAAGAACAGAATATTGTGGTTTAACTAATCAACAGCATTATATCAATTACCGACACCGTTCACGGTAGCTCAGTCGGTAGAGCGCTCGCTCCGTGATCGGGAGGTCGTGAGTTCATATTACGGCCGCGACTGACCTAGTCGTTAAAATGGGTAGCAACTGTTCCTTCGCCATGCGCTCGGCACTTTGAAGTGAAAGTTGCGGGTCCTTCGGATGAGACCTTAAAAACCGAGGCCCCGTGTCAGCGGCAGGCGTTGGCACGATAAAGATCCCTCACTGCTCAATGGCCCTGAGTGCCGAGTAAAGGTCAAAATTTGAAGCCCTTCACCGGCATACGGTGACGTCTCCATATGAGTGAAAAAGTCTCGAGAGGGACGTTAAACAATATACAATCAATCAATCAATCAATCAATTACCGAAAACATGCGAAACCGTCAACATAGGACATCTATTGAAAATGTGGGGGTTGCATAAAGGAGAAGACCAAATATTTTGTCATAATGGATAATTATACCAAAAAGTCTGACAAATCCGTTTCATATATAGAGATTGTACTTGAAAAAGATGTTAATTGTAATTTAATAGCCAAGATTTATGACAAACGAGATTTTTCAATCGTCAGATTCCCTGTCTTACGCAGCAATATACCTTCATCACCTACATACGGGGTTTATATCTCTCAGTTGATTCGATACGCAAGAGCATGCTCTACATATAAACATTTTTTTTAAACGAGGTAAGTTACTGACAAACAAGTTGCTGAAACAAGAATATCAGCAGTCTCGTTCAAAGTCATAATTTCGTAAGTTCTATGGTCGATACAATGATCTTGGCAGCAAATACAGGTTATCATTAAAAGTCAAATGCTGACTGACGTTTATCATACTGACTGTTAGATCAGTATTTACACATTGAATTGTCGACAGATTTTTCCGTTACTCCCCGATCGTAACAAGGAGCACACAGCGGGTGTGACCGGTCGGCAGGGAATGCTCACTCCTCAAAGGCACCTGATCCCATCTCTGATGTTTTGGAGGTCTATGTTTGTTCTATTCCAATTTTCTATTGTTTAAAGGACTTTGAGCTTAAATACCGTTTGTTATCTCCAAATATTTCAGTAATTGTTTGAGATATATATTATGATATTCCACCTACTTTTTCTTTCCTTGCACCTGCCTATTCCTTTGACTTATAGTACAAAGTTAGTTTCTAAGTTTATTATTTTGTACTTTAAGTGAAAGATCTGATGTCAGGTCTATGCGTTTATATAAAGTATCAACTTTTTTCAAACAGAGGGAGAGGAAAGTGAATGAACGATCGACCACCCTCTAGCATTGCTTACTATTAAATTCTATGTACACGTCTGATGTGTAAACGTGTAAACAGCGTGGTGGATATGGAAATCAAAGAACTATATAACGGTTTAAATAATGTTAAGTAAGAACTCAAATTAAGACAAATTATATCAAGATGAGAGTAAATATTAAAATCATACAAAATACAAATACAACTTGATAGATTTGTTTTCATGAAAGGTGCCTGGGGTTCATAACATAAAGACTACTTAATCTAAGTCTATACATCAGAAGGGAAGGACTTAAGTACAGTCTTACACTTTAGACTGTAACTAGAAGCATGCAAGGATATTTTAATTTAAGCAACACTAAGACAGAGTTACTAGTAACTTTGTATGAACAATCTTATATCAACATTTGTACAACTAGAAAGACTTTCGGTTATCTTGCCATATCTGTTAAAATCATTTTAATATATACCTTTCATTCAATGTTTGAATGTACATGTAATTATGCAATAACCTATGGAGAGAACGATCATAGGTATTTATGCCTGCTGTTCAATCCATTTCATTAATTTGAATAAAGATATTTTATAATCATTTACAATTTAACCAAGGATGGAAGAGAATTATAATCGGAAGCTATTTTTAAAAAAAAATGAAAAGTTTTGATGATTTTGATAATGCTATTAGTATGCATCTCTGTATCGGGAAAGCTAAGGACGTAGTAAATAGCGAGTGATGCGTCCGTGTCCGTATTGCATATTCTCCTTGTATAGCTAGAAACTTGCGTCGTACGAAACATAGATGTTTGCCAATCATATTTTTACAAATTACGTTTAAACTAACTTCTACCTAAGTACATTGAAAACGCGTTATCGACTTCTCTTTGCAAAACAAAAACAAAAAAAAAACAACAGACGTTACTATCCTCAAATGAAAGAGTAGACAGTTTATTTCCTTGAATAAGTTGTTAATCTACAAAAATACTGACCGTTGTCAGAAGTAGGAGAGGTTTTAATGCAGGTTCCCTGAACGCTCAACTTTTACCACATCAGTCATGTAGAAGTGTGATTATAGATTGAATTAAAATTTTTAAAAATTTGCAAAAATATTTATCAGCTTCGTTGACAAAAAATCAATTAATAATTATACTCAGACCTTACACCACCCCCACCCCCGAAAAGTACCTTCTTCATTTTGTGTGAAAAAGGCAAATCAATATCCCTACCATAGAAACATTTACGTGTAACATAACTTTTAGCATTAGCCACTACACGGCATTAGCCACTAAGAGTAAGAGGCATGGGGTCCATTATAAGCAACTGTAGGTCATTAATTTAAAGAAATGTTTTTTGGTATATTTCTATTCTAGACTAGATGTTTGGGAAGCCTAAATGTGCTTTTGGATAACATGCAACCTGATAATCTATGAAAACGTTGTTAAATGATTTTGACCTATGTTTTATTTCAATGATGCAAGAAGACAGTGGATATGTATACCAATGGGCACTTTTAGTACAGGCTTTAAAAGCCAACTCATTACAAAAGTTTACATTTGGATCAATTTATTTGATAATTCTTCATAATAATAATTCAGAAAAATAGAGTGACAGAGATGATAATTGACTTAAATTTTCATAGAAAGCATTCATTATCATTTTCCTGTCAGTCAATTAAATAATATCGGCATGTCCGCTTATTCATGTTCATTGTCTACAACTGGTTTTATTTTTCTATGAATGGTGAAAAGAGTATATTTTCTTCTAAAGGCAAGTTCTCATCTAAATATAAAATGATAAACTAATTGTTGGAAATTGATTTCAAAATATTAAAAGGATCAAAGGAGAAAATTAAACTCTTAAGGTCAGATCTAAACTGTTGATTAAAAAAATGAATAGATGTTTCAGGGTTATAAATAACTTTATTATATGATTGAATAATTTCCATCTCTCTGATATTGGCTGAGATCCAACTATGTTAGAAAAATACTACGTTGAATTGACCTCCACGTGACGTTCCAGGTGAATACAAGGATTTATTTCCTCTACATTGATCTAAAAATAGATTGGAAAATTCCAAATTGATACAAATTATTTTGAAAAGCTATTTAAATGACTATGACTTTTTTTCATGTGAACAAAACATAAGCGAATATATATTTTTGAGTGAGGGTGGTAAGAGGGGATGCAGGGACCCCCTCCAACACTTTTACTGAACAACAAATTTTACTGTTTGGCAGTCAGTTTTCCCTGATGATACTCCTTCCTTTCAAAATCTATTCTATAAAAAAGACTGACATTATATTTTTTTTTTCATGGCAACTAAAATTGATAAAAAACATTTCAAATTGATACAACTGGTAAGGTTTATTTACATTTTAATTCTGCTTCTCTCTTGTATTTGGCTAGGACTTAATTAAATTAATGCAAACAAGTAATGAGCTGTATCATTTTATCAGTGAATCATATAATAAAACAATTATTGCTGTTTTTTTCGGTCAATTCAATGATTTAGCCATCTTCGGGCTCGGTGAATATTGTACTCCTCAGATGGCTAAATCATTGTATCGACCTCAAAAAACAGCAATAATTGTATAATATTTATCAGATTGTATTTATAGTGTACTAAATGCATTACCAGTAATATAATATGGTGTTTTCACAGATTTCAAGCTGAAGTGTTACATGTATTTCAAGTTTTTCATTAAACACTACAGTCAAACTGGAAAATAAAATTAAAACTAAAATATGAATTTTTTCATCCCTTGGTATAATAGAATTGTCTCCATTTACAGTATCACAGATTTTAAAAGGGAAAAATTGAAGAAATTTTTTTCAAAAGTAATCAACATATTTCAAACAGAAAGCCTAGATGAGCATAATACATATGGTTGTACCCTAGAATCCATGGTGGACTTGAGAGGTAATGAGGCACTAGTATTGGCTGACTTGGTGGGGGTGACGTTACGACTGGTGGGGGCGGACTGTTGTCGTCGGAGATTGGAGGGTGGAGGTCGGTCCTCCGCTGACTCCAGTGATGTGTAAGAGGAAGACCTTACCATGTTCATTCTGGTGGCAGAATTTGATGGCTGCATTTTGGACCTAAATTCCTAATGAATTAAAAAGTGTACAATGTATTAATCAGTAATGATTAGGCCAAAAAAAATAGTAGTCTTGTTTCCTGCTACCAGCCTGAAAAAATAGGATAGGTAGGTAGGGAAATTATTTTATTTTTCTTTTTTATTTTATTTTTTCCGATGGTGTTTCTTTCAATGTGTTCTAATACAAGATCAAATTAAACATGCCATAGGTCAATATTGCCTTTTGAAATTAAAGCTGAACACGATTCGTAAAAAGAATCTGTCCGCCATTTTTGTTCCCGAGTCTCGCTACTCTGCAGACCCCTATAAATAGGGCAGAACTTGGTCACTGTTCAGTTATAGTTGTATAAGTCGGTCCAGTATTCATACAACACAGATAAACGTAACTGCAATAAAATATAAACAAAGGTAATGCAAGATAACCAGCACAAACACGGGTCGCCATTCCACGCCGATACCCATGACAATAAAGCAGCCAGGTGTAACGAATGCGACGAGTATACCCTAGTATTGATGTATCGTAGATAACGCTATCGAAAATGGCGTATGCCTATTTACGAGTCGTGTTCAGCTTTAAATTTCATGCATTTTGATGCACAATTCAAGTGATATTTTATGAAAGTCCTTATTTAAAACAAATAATTTTATGAAATACCACTTGAAGATATATTTTTTTGAGTTTTGGAACATGAAATTCCAAAAATTCCTGATTTTTTTCCCCAAAACTAAAAAAAAAAAAAATTTTAAGGTCGGGTGCAAAAAAATAGGGTAGGTCGGGTAGCAGGAAACAAGACTATTTTTTAGGGATGTCAACGAATAGTCGACTATTCAACTATCAGTCGAATGGACCGACGATCGAATAATGAAACAATATTCGAATATTTAGTAAATGCAAAAAGGAGGTGTTAAAGAATTCTCAACTCAAAATTGTGAAATGTCATTCCTCAAACCATAATAGTATATGACTCCTTCCTCAGACGAATAATCTAAGAGCTTCAACAGTCACAGTATTTAAATAAGTTTCCACAATGTTTACATAGAAAGAACAGTAATTACAAACCGCGATAATTATTTTTTAATTACTGACCTTTTTTATTGTATTAAATAATGCAGCGCTTTACTGGACTTTGAAAATTATTAATTGGACCTTTACCAATTATAAATTTATTTATTACCTCTAAGAATGTTTAGATTAAGAAATAGGAACACAGCATAGCCGTGAAGTTTTGAAACTTCGATAATTATTAAAGCAATAATCGCCTCCCCTTTTCCATGTTATTTTAAATAAGCTATAAAAATACTTCTGATAATTCTCTAAGCGTACTAGAACGGAAGAATGTACAGACAATTTTTCTAAATCTGGTATACGAAAATTCATACATTTTGGAGAATCAATTGCAGGTGGAAATCAAGTTCATTTCTACATCTTATCCAAACTTAAGGTTCATCTTAATATCGATGTGTAACACACTGTATAGGCATTTGGGGTTACTTTTTATATAAATTTACGAGAAGGGTTTTTGATTAATGAAAACGTTACATGTGTATCACTGAGATTTTTTTTTCTCAAAAATTGCTCCGAATAGTCGACTATCGTTCGAATAATGCAATCGAATGTTCGACTAAGGAAAATAAATATTTTGACATCCCTACTATTTTTATTTTTGGCCTTATAAGATGGCCTTATGTTTAATTAATACAAAATCAAGAAACTGAAATAATTCTTTGACTTTATGAAATCTATATCCAAATTTATTTGACTAAATTTCAATATATAGACACATAATGATAAAACAAATTTAAAATGGGTCAACTTTGAGAAGTAAATCCCACTTGAGTCCATATCTAAAATTGGCCTTAAAAATATATATGATTAGTTTTTCACTGTTATACCTCTATATCTTCATCCAAATCAAATGATTTAATATTCTGGAAACATTCTGTGTACATTTCTAAAGCTTTGGCATGGTAGATCATCTCAATATTGACAAAGTCTGTCAATATTTTCTGTTGAATATGAAACAGAAACAAAATATTTCATAACTCTGAGCCTAAAACCACTAGATTACTATTTTATCGTAAATCATCATGGAACCCTTTATTCATTCAGATTTTGTAGGGAATGAATGATAATCAAATACTGGTATACTGGTATAATAAAATCAAATTAATAAATTATCTACAATAAGTTCATGTGTATTAACATTATTTTGCAGTAGAAAATAACTTAATTATATGTATGATATCCAGCTGTTCAACATACCTTTAGATCTTTTAGTTTCTCCTCTTCAAATTTATCAATCAGCTGTTCTAAATTCTTTGTGACAGCTGACGCCTTGACGCTGGCTTTCTGTAGCTCTGTCTCAGCCATTGTCAGCTGGGCTCTGTTAGCAGGTGCTTTCTGTCGCAGTCTGTCCAGCTTCTTACGCTGATTTACTTCTAGTTCTTGTGTTTTCATTCCCTCCTTGATATCATTTTTAGCTTGTTTACATTTTAGTCCATAATTTGCAAGAGGTGTCAGAACTTTGGCTTCCAATCTTGTTACCTACATTGAAGAATTATACTTTTTAATGTCATGAAATTAATCATTTATATCTACATGTATATACAAATTAATAAAAGCAATCCTTATTGGACCAAGATTTTTTTCAATAAGGCAATGTCTCATCTGAAACTGAGCTTGTTAATTATACTGCAATTTGACAATATCTATTGACTATAAATATTCTGTATTTGAGGTTGTTTGCAGTCATGTAATAAGACAATGTCATTATCTTATTCTATACCTGAGCTTGTTTACAGTAAAGTAACTGATATGTTTGATTTCATGTTGTCTAATGTCACTCTTGAGAATTTTTCATTCATATGGTCAGATTCCACCACTTGCTGGTGGAGAGCTACAAATTTTGACCTATTTGGCCTATACTCAGATCTCAGGGCCATTGAGCATGTGAGGGATCTTCTTCGTGCCAGGAACTACTTCGACAGGGGACCTCCGTTTATATGGTCTTATCCGAAGGACCGGTCTCCACGTTCCACAGTGGGATTTGAATCCATGACGTAAGGATTGATTCTTTACTTCGTGACTCTAGAGCAGACACTCTAACAACTGTGCCATGCATGTCAAACAAATAATCTGGGTTTATTTGCAGTCATTAATATGATAAAATTCTTATTCTGGAGATTCATGTTAAAAAAATGCTACATTCATGTGTATCTATACCTTAGCTTGTTGAATACTGTTTACAGTCGTGTAAGACAATGCCACCTATCTGGACCTAAGCTTGTTTACATTCACTTAATAAGGCATTATCCGAAATCTGTACTTGAGCTTGTTTACAATCATGTAATAAGACATTGTCCCCAATCTGTACCTGAGCTTGTTTACAGTCATGTAATAAGACACTGTCAGCAATCTGTACCTGAGCTTGTTTACAGTTACAGTCACGTAATAAGACACTGTCCGCAATCTGTACCTGAGCTTGTTTACAGTCATTTAATAAGACACTGTCACCAATCTGTACCTGAGCTTGTCTGTAGTCCTGAACTGAAGACAGATTAGAAGCAAACTCTGACAGTGACCTGACCATGCTCGGGTTGTAGGTCTCAGCATCTGTATAATCCACCAGGTCCTTCGCTATCTGATCACCTACAGTAAAACCAAATTATACTTGTAACTATGTTCATGATGTTAATTGTAGTTTTTTATGCACTCTAGGACAATATCTAGTGGCAACATACACTACAGCTTCTTAAGTGACACCCAGTAAGGCAGTATCAAGCAATTGTCAACCTAGAGGAAGATCACAGCTAGGATTGATTCATTCCTCTTTTAGGAAATCTTAATTGCGACTACTTTATATTATGTCTCCATTGAAGGAATATACACTGAATGATCCTCATGCTTTTCTATTACCACCTTGTCCAGACAAGAATTCTTATCTTCCATATTGTTCTAACATTCAAATATGTAAATGATTTTTATTTTGCAAGATGATAAGACATAGTAAGTGATCTTGATACTCCCTTTACCTTGACATACAGAAAATTGATTACTTTTATAACTTTGTATTCAGCATTCAGAAAGTTTAGGGCATATGCAGGAGAGACATTGGTTGCTCTGTGTTTAATAATCACAGAATACAGAGTGTCTAACCTTGACAATTACAATTATTAATACATGTATTTGACTTCTTTAACCTACATAATAATGATGATTAATGATTTATATTGTCCCTAATGCTTTCTTGAAAGAGAGAACAGAATCTATTTATCTTTAATAGCCTACCTTTATGATGTAACAGCACTGCTATATTAATTACTTTATTCTAAAGGCCTTTACTGATATGGCAGCTGATATTTCTACCTTTATCATAAAAGCTTCCTTTACTGATGTTTCAGTTGTTATTTTACCTATTTTACCTTTATCCTGAAAGCTACCATTACTGATGTTAATGATGATACTGAGATGCTGTTTTACCTTTATCCCTGAGGCGGGCACATTTCCGTGTGTAAGATGCCACATTGTCACACACTGCTATATTTTACCTTTATCCCTGAGGCGGGCACATTTCCGCGTGTAAGATGCCACATCATCACACAGCTGACCAAAGTGTCGCTCCACGAGGTTTATACGCTCTTGTATCAGCTTGACTTTGTTCTCACTGCAAGATCAGATGCAGAAAAAATATTAAAGTTCAGGCAGAAATCTGATATACACATGATACATGTTTTGCAAAAATAATTTACGTGTCCTTTTTAAAATATAAATTTATCATATTGAAAGGTTTTTAGTTAAATGATATTGAGAATACAAAATTTAAAAGGGTAAAAAGAATAATAACATTAATTTACTTCATATCTGTTGACCATTAGGATAAAATAATTAAACAATAATAAGAGCAATTGTAGGCATATCAATATAGATACTATATAATGGGTTATTTTAGTGACCAGCAAACGACAATATTTGAGCTATAATTTTTTAGAGACATTCATTTTCAAGCATTCCAGGACTTTCCCTCTCTAACTGAGAAAATTTGGACAGATGAACTAGTATTATCTGACAAAATTTTCTCAACCAGGGAACAGCATTTCTGTAGCTATATTGCTAATATAAGCTAAAATTGAAAGGTCACTAAAATTTCCCATTATACATTATTTCAATAATAAATTCGAGGTTTGTTAATAATTTCAGTTTACCAAAATAAATACATGTAATAATACCATGGACAAAAGTAGACATAAATATTTCAAATATAAACATGCACCGGGGTACACAAACATGTGTAAATGGTACATAAATAAACAACATTGATTTGTCTTAATCACTTGCAATGAGAACTAGTTATTCATCATTGTATTGTCACAGTCAACAATTGTATGAGTATCAATAACATGCATTATAATTTAAATGGTAAGCATGGTAAGGATGTATGTATATTCTAATGGGCTAAAGATGAAATGTGTTACAGCATTTGTCAATGATTCATTCTTTCATAGCATATTACATCAGCCATTTTTGGTTTTTGAGCATTTAATACTTCTGCTTTTCATTTTTTTTTTTCATGTGTTTGTTAAACATCAACAGATTTGTTTCATTTGAGACCCAACACCAAACATAATAACACAGATTTTTAGTTTAGCAGCTGCACATTCAATCCAAATGATAAATTAATTACATTTCAAGAAATTACATGAATCAAGACATGCAGTAGGTCTATTCAAGCCATTTAATGGTAGTAAAAAGGAAAAGCATTAAAAATTAGGTTTATCATTTTTCATGGAGCAGCATTCACATGGTTAACATTAATATTTTTCATATTTGAGGTATAACATTTTGGTACAGGTAGTAATTAATGATATTAGTATATCTACCTAAAATAAAACATTATCAAATAAATTACCTTATAATAATAGGACTGTAAATAATGCATTTACAAAACTAAGTATTATTATAATATCGCAATAAAAAAATATATAATCCCTGAAATCATTTTTTTTTTTACAAGCAAGCAATATTAAATACTAGGTATATGCATATCAAACATGGTTACAATATCAGATATTGTATACAACCAAATTCTAAATGAAGGTACCCTCTTTCCCCCACATGTACAGGTATTGTCTCTGTCATGCTCATGCAACATGCTGTCCTTACTATACAATTCACATGCACAAGTGATAAAAGCAGGAGAAATAATAACATGCCTCTCTGGAGTACAAACATAATCTATGCTAGCCAAAATAAACAAAGAATGTAACATAACAATATACCTGGACTGCCCTTTAGAATCATTACCCATCATTCGTTTAATCCAGCTTCTTTGGTTTGGTTTTTGTTTGCTTAAAAGCATATAAAACTCTAATTGACATATATATCACAGAATTTCTTAAGTTAAGATTTTATTTGCTGTTGTAAACTTTTACAACCATATACTCTGAAAGCAGTCTTCAAACACCCTAAATTTATTCTAATTTAAAAATTACTGTTAAGTGCTTATTTAGTACACCCTATAGATAAATGTTCCATTATTAAAATGATAAATGTCTTAGAGACCTGATTTTTCCTGAGACACTGAGTTAGATTATTCTAAGTACACCCATACCATTATATGTGTGTTAAACACCTGGTATTAAGTCCATTACTATGACACTAACTGTACAGTACAATCTTATAAGTATTTGTCTGACAGACAAAGAATTCAGTTTAACCAACTCCCTACCCCCACATATATAGTGGACCTCGGGAACAAGAACTTCACAATCTTAGTCGACATCAACTTGGTCATTAAAATTATGCCACGAGTTTGCCTGTTAAACATGCTAAATAATCTGACTTCTGATTAAAGATGTGATGCATTTCCATTTTAAGACCAACTTGTTCTAACCTTGGCTGGGTCAGGAACTCTGAACCAAGGAACATCAATGTCTTGTCTCAATAAATGAGAAATGACAAATCTTATAATAAAACAAATAATTGTCTTGAAAGTAAGAACAAATAACTTATTAATTTATACTGTATTTATCTCAGTTTACTGCCCTGGTCCCTGGGACCCATACCTTGAGTAAACAAACTTGTAAACAAGTCAAATCATGAAACAGAAGCCCTCCGCTTATCCGACTTAATAAATGATCATTCATAATTGTCATAAAGTAATGAGTATAAGCGAACATAAAGGTTAATCAATCGTTTACCTTGCACGTATTTCTGCACCCGTTCTGCTCATCTTTTTTTTTCCCTACAACACAAAACAGACCGAAAAACCTCTGAAATTCCTCATTACACCAAATGTTGTTTTCTATATAGAAGAGTTCCGATTTAAATTTCCAACGTTAAATTATTTAACCCTCTTCAGACATACAAATATTATTCATTTCTTTTTATTTAGAAAAAATGCCATCAAAAGTGACCAAATATTGGAATGTATGTCTGCGTCTCCTTAAATGAGATTTAAAAAGTATGAAACATTCGATGTTCGAGTTAATTTAAAATTATTTAAAAATGGCGGCTTCCATGATTGGAAATCAAATTTTGGTAGATATCCTTTTTAGAAAGAGATTTCTAGTGTTTTAAAAGAGTCTTGCTATTTTGAATTTCAACAGAAAACAAGGAAAATATAGAAATGGTGTTGAGATTGTTTGTTCTCGTTTGAATTTCTAGAAATCATGTAGGAATGTGTGCAAATTATTTTTACAAATACACTTTCATGCAGTCAATTATTGTAGGAGGTGGCTGACCCCTTATTTGTCTTCTGAGAAACTCTCAATTACAGATCAAACAGTCTTTTGATTTAGTATTACATAGTTTGAATCAACAATAAAGCTTTATTAAGTTATTCAATTATCATGTTGTTCAATAGATTTACTATTTGAAATAGCTTGAAAAGAATTTCAATATAGTTTTTTTTCAAATATTTTTAACGAAATAGACAGAAAAGTCACAAGTGTGTGACTACTCATATGTGGAAATTGAACCATTTGTAATGTGGAGCAGTCATCCATCCAAAGGTTGAACATGCTTGCTGTTGCTTAAAACCATACATGTTAACTCTCCCGATTTAGGCGGGAGTCTACCGCTTTTTCACTCCATCTCCCGCCTACCGATTTAATTCAGAAATCTACCGCTTTTCTACAAAAGCTGCGTCTAAAGTATTTTTGGTTCGCTTGGGTATCCATTTTTGAAGCCACTCTCATAAAATCTCGCTAGATATTGCGTGATTTGACTCGCAATCATACAAACGCTTTTTTGTACATAGATTTCAAGCACGGATTTGACAACGACAACAACATGAGACTACCAGTGATTACATTGGTTACGATAAATTAATCAACATCCCTGCCATGAAAAAGAAGATGCAGCTTTTAAGAATTAGATGAAAACATTTGACATCGTCTTTAAAAGCACAAAAGCTCACGACTTTATCAATAAAGTCAATAGAAATCACTCGATTGACCAAGCCATGTGTCTCTACTTTCGTTTTCGATCTGATTTATATAACGAAAGATACGAACCTGTTTTAGATCTAGATTAAACCATGCCATCATTTGTTTTGTTTAAAAACTGAATGAACATTCAGAATTATTGCTTCTAGGCTATTTCAGCAAAGATCACTCTTCAAAAGGCTAAGTAAAGCAGCCAATCCAAGCAAAATGATGAGCATGAAAAATATTTGAATTTGTACAATTTATGTCAAACTTAAGGTGTTTCTGTCTTCTTATTGCTGTTGATATTTAAGATAAATTAGTGTAGGTACCTGATTTCATTTATGGCTTATAATATACATGTATATTACATGAAAGATATCGATAATCCAAGCGTTAAACAACACGTGCGCAATACTACCGCTTTTGAGGTCTGAATCTCCCTCTCTTTTTCATCACAATAGGTTAACATGTATGTTAAAACTTACCTGAAATAAGCATCACTCGAAAGTTAGCTGCTAGCGAGGCAGTACAAGTTCCCTATATACTGTTTGCTTCACTTCCTTCCGCTCAGGGAAGCTTTGACCCAAAGCTTAGCATGAGTTCGGACTGAGTGTTTGACCCTCTTCAGTAACAGCAACCATTGCCGTTCCTGGACACGAAGTCTGTACGTAGACACAAAATCCTACCCATAAAGCTTCCTGAAGTAGGCCTAGAACCTCTTCAGTCACAACAACCCCTGCCGTCCACAGACACAAACTTTGTAAATGGACATAAATTCCTAGCTCTAAGACTTCCTGAAGCAGGTCACCAAACACCAGAATCATGATGCTGCCATCAGTTTTGTAACATGAAGTCCGTCAACTTCCAAGGGTTAAACATGCTTGCCGTTGCTTAACTTGCTTGAAATGGAAACTCACCAGAAAGCTAGCTCACTAGCGAGGCAGTATAAGTTCTGTATAATATAGTATATACTCTTTCAATTTTAATTTTGTGATGCCCAAAGAGGATTGATTGCTAAAGAATTTTTGACGTGGATTCAACAAATTTTCTTGTGCAGTGAGTAGATTTGAACTAAAATGTCCTCTGTTCATTATACATTTGGTCCACAGAGCTCAGTATGCAACAGGTATCTATGTCACTTATTAGTATACTTGTATTAATATAGTGTTAATTGTTATTTATATTATTTTTTCAGTCACAAGTTCAGAATTTGAACTCTGTAAAACCATTATACCAGAGATGCTTAGAACTGGAGAAAGTTTTGAAGAATACAAGTACAAAGGTACCTCTTCCATATTTAAATGCTTCCAAGCAAGTGAACAAATATGGTTTAACCATTTAAACCATTTTAATCATTTCATTCTGAAATTATATCTCACATCCAATTTAAACAAAATGCTCTGAAATGGGAATACATGTAGTATCGCCACCCAGTGGAATAAAGGGGAACAAAACTCGGTACTATCTCCCATTATCAAGATTATGAATTACCCAGATTACATGTGAAAAATTTCAACTGTGAACAAGATATTTTCAAAAATTTGCCTCCAGTTTGCCTTCCACTTCTTATCGACTGCTCACACAGTGTTTAATGGTATTTGAATAATATTAACATCTGAACTGATGATATTCTTTTCATTAGGAATTAAAGAATGTGCTGCCTTTTTTACTGGAGAACATATTTGGGTATGGACAAAATCCTGGCTGGGGGTTAGACTTGATCAACAGATCCTCCAATTCCCAGGACTTTGATAACCTCAGAAGACTGCTGGCCCCCGAGGGGACCCTCCTGTCTCTAGTGTACAATCTGATGACTGATTCATTCTACGAATTTCCAATAAACAGTCTACCTGTAAGTAGAGGTGTAACAATACTGTGATAGATCGATTGTATTGATTGCAAGGTCTCACGTTATGCATATCATATGGCTATGTATATACATGTATCATGATACAGTAGAAGTTAATTTTCATTGTTTTGTTTGAAAATTCTACATGCAAACTGAGAAATTTTAACGTTACAAAATGATTGAAAAGATGGTAGCAACAAAAAATACAATGCTAAGAATACAAGTCCACCCCATAAGGGTTCTCAAGATATTCTTTTTATATTTTCTATAACTGTGGAGGCTAGCAGTAGCAAGCAAGAATATGTAAAGATATCAGTAAATTTAATTGTTGACAGCTGTATCATGATATTTGTTGTATTGTTTGGCCATATCATGATATGTTTCGTATTGTTAAGTAGCTTGCAATACTCTGGCTCACCTGTAAGCATTTCATAAAAATGTGTTCCTTTTGTTGATTTTCAAACACTAAAATAATAATTATACCCGCACTTTCCAAAGAAAGTTCGGGTATATTGTTGTTACTCATGTCCGTCCGTCCGTCTGTCCGTCCGTCCGTCCGTCTGTCACACTTTTCTTCCCTGAACTCCTCCTACATTTTACACAGTAGCTTAATCATCTTTTGGGAGATGGTTGGTGGGGTCATGTAGATGTGCAGTAAGGTTTTGGAATTTTGATTTTGCCCCGGGGGGTCAAATGGGGGTCGAAAAATGACGTTTTTTATGCAAAAAGCCCCGTCTTCCCTGAACTCCTTCTACATTTTACTCAGCAGCCTAACCAGCTTTTGGGAGATGGTTGGTGGGGTCATGTAGATGTGCAGTAAGCTTTCGGAATTTTGATTTTGCCCCGGGGGGTCAAATGGGGGTCGAAAAATGACGTTTTTTAAGCAAAAAGCTCTATCTTCCCTGAACTCCTCTTACATTTTATTCAGCAGCCTAATCATCTTTTGGAAGATGGTTGGTGGGGTCATGTAGATGTGCAGTAAGGTTTTGGAATTTTGATTTTGCCCCGGGGGGTCAAATGGGGGTCGAAAAATGATGTTTTTTATGCAAAAAGCCCCGTCTTCCTTGAACTCCTCTTACATTTTACTCAGGAGCCTAATCATCTTTTGGGAAATGGTTGGTGGTGTCATGTAGATGTGCAGTAAGGTTTCGGAATTTTGATTTTGCCCTGGGGGGTCAAATGGGTGTCGAAAAATGACTTTTTTAATGCAAAAAGACCCTTCTTCCCTGAACTCCTCTTACATTTTACTCAGCAGCCTAATCATCTTTTGGGAGATGGTTGGTGTGGTCATGCAGATGTGTAGTAAGGTTTCTGAATTTTGATTTTGCCCTGGGGGGTCAAATGGGGGTCGAAAAATGATGTTTTTTATGCTAAAAGCCCCATCTTCCCTGAACTCCTCTTACATTTTATTCAGCAGCCTAATCATCTTTTGGGAGATGGTTGGTGGGGTCATGTAGATGTGCAGTTAGGTTTCGGAATTTTGATTTTGCCCGGGGGGTCAAATGAGGGTCGAAAAATGACGTTTTTTATGGAAAAAGCCCAGTCTTCCCTAAACTCCTTTTTCGTTTTAAACAGTGGTCTTATCCTCTTTTGGGAGAGTTCACTCTTTTGAAATTTTGTTAAAACATCAAGGTCAAGGGGTAAAAAATCATAGCATGTTGGGAAACATCTTGTTATGGGTAATGTTCACTTGAAATGTGAAAGTCGAATCTCTTCTCAATGAAAAGGAAATACAACATTAATGAAAACTAAGTTAAACTTCAAGGTCAAGGTCACAGAGTCAAAAAGTCATGATACATTTGGAAAGGTCTTATCACAGGTAATATGAATGCCCTTTCATTTATCTTTCAAAATGATTAATTCAGAGCAATTAATTTGTTTATGAAATTAGGTCAAACTTCAAGGTCATGGGTTATAAAAATCATAGTGTATTTAGAATGGTATTGTCCCATTTAATACTAATACACATGTTTAATATAAAAGTCCTGTCTCTTCTCATTCAAAATATACGACCATGATGACCAGTTGCAAGGTTAAATTTATTGTGACAGATGGGCAGATTGATAAACAAATGAGATTTAATGTACCCTACCTTAGCGAAAATGGGGGACAATAAATGTCTTTGCTGTTCTTGAGAAGAAGATTTATGTTGGAAAAAGTCCCCTGCATATTTAAATGTAAATTGGTTGAAATTGGCCCAGTGGTTCTTAAGAAGTTAATGTGAAAAGTTTGCAGACAAACAGATGGACAACAGAAATCAGTACATTTCAGAAAACAGTATGCTTATAAATAGTTAATCAAGGTGCTTTGGGTAGCAAAATTAAGCTAAACTGGTATATCTAAACTGGTATATCTAATTCATCCGCAGAGCTTAGTATATTTTAATATGCACAACCTTTTCAACTCTTATCATAATTATTTTTTAAAATTTATATCACCATGTCTCATTCAAGGGAGAACTAGAGATATGACCAGATGTATATTTGTTGAATATAAAATATGTACATGTATATTGTGTTTTTTTAGTAATTTATTTGTTTGTTGTGACAGCAACTGTTATGGCAGCTTTTGGCAAAGGTTGAAGTTTCTCAAATGTAAGTCAAACTCCAAGGTCAAGGTCAAAGGCTCAAAATTGTTGGTATCAAAGGGAAAGTCTTGTCACAAGGAATACACAAACATGTGAAAAAAGAGAGAAATCCCTAGAACTTCCTCAACTGTTCAAAAGTTATTGCCAAGGTTAAAGTTAAATTGGGTTCAACTCTAAGGTCTAGGTCAAAAATAATTATACCTGTTGAAAGTTCACAATGATTACACATGTTAGAGCATGAAAGTCCTAGCACCACCTGTTCAAAACTTAGGCCAAGTTTAAGGTATTTTTCTTGTAAAAATGGGTCAAACTCCAAGGTCAAGAGATCAAGAGGTCAAAATTGGTGGTACCCATTAAAAGGTTTTGCCAAAAGAAATTTACCTATGAAATATTGAAGCCATGTGTATAGCCCAATCCACTTAAAACTTATGGGCAAGGTTAAAGTTTCTGTGGACAGACAAACATACATAAACATAGGAAACAAAATATGTATATATAGTCAAATGAAAAAAATTTCTACTATTATGGAGTCATAAGATCAATTGTCATTTCAGGTACAGGGAGTCAGTGGCTAGGGAGATCAGACCCCCCCCCCCTGGAATTAGCAGTTATTTAAATAAGACTATGTACTGTAGAGAATAAAAATGACTTTGGACATCCTCCCCCTTAGAAAACAGGGACTCCACCATCATTGTTTTTATTATTATTTTTTATTTGCTTCTCAGGAAATCTTGGGCTGATTTTTTTGACTGAGGTGTGACACCCCCCCCCCCCCCCTTTCCGAAAAAAAATTCTGGATCTGCGCCTGTATATACTGAATGTCCGCAACGGGAGATAACTTGACAATGTGAAATTTGTCGACTGTGGCATGCGATGATCTTTGACCCTTTTTGAACTTCAACCTAACCATTTGCATTTATTTATTTTTATGCAATCTATACTAAATCTTGTACTTACCGAATGTCATAGGTCGTGACAACGAATTCATGAAATATAATCCATATAATACAATTAAAACACAAATGATTTTAACTGACCACACTGCATCGTCAGCATACATGTGCTAAATAATCTCATTCGACAAACCTTTGCTGATTCCGTTGCCAGTATGAATCGGCCGAGGTGTGCCGAGAGGTGATATCTATAAATATGATAATGGGTGACGCAAACCCAATGTGAATGTAGAAAATAAGATGTTCACACGTAAAACTGTTTAGTACAAGTACAAATTTCAAACTATCATAATAAACTATGTTTTAACATAACTTTGCCATCTAGTTATATTTTTAAAAAATGTGAGAGTGAGAGAGTGTGTGTGTGTGTGGGGGGGGGGAGATAGGCATTGACAAATTAATCGGGTTGTATTTTCAATGGGTTTTTTTCCCGACCAAGTACTAAAATCAGTTTGCACATTTTGATAAATTCATCAAAAATGCTTTGTACTAAAATAATATGTCGTTGAGAAAGTAAATTTAAAAAGTTCCAAATTATGGGCAAAATATTTATCTGAATCTAATTAAGTAATTTACTTCAATCATTAATTAAATTCTGTTATTTCAGACTGGTAATGAATTAAGTATTCAAAATACATATGTGAGGCTCATAGATCATATGGTCACCTGAAAATTTTATGTTCAATTTGACGAATACATGTACGGTGATAATTATAGAATTATTTTGACTTCTTCCTTGGAAAGTCCAATATGAAGGAGTGTGTATTTAGAGGCAAACACCATAGTGCGGGTATTACTGTCTCATGACAGCATCTAGTTCTTTTATGGTTATACAGGTGCATTTAAATAGGTTCAAGAAATATTAAGTATTTTATTATACCCACACTTTCTAAAGAAAGTTCGGGTATATTGTTGTTACTCATGTCCGTCCGTCCGTCCGTCTGTCACACTTTTCTTCCCTGAACTCCTCCTACATTTTACACAGTAGCTTAATCATCTTTTAAGAGATGGTTGGTGGTGTCAGGTAGATGTGCAGTAAGGTTTCGGAATTTTGATTTTGCCCCGGGGGGTCAAATGGGGGTCGAAAAATAACGTTTTTTATACAAAAAGCCCCCTTTTCCCTCAACTCCTCTTACATTTTACTCAGCAGCCTAATCATCTTTTGGGAGATGGTTGGTGGGGTCATGTAGATGTGCAGTAAGGTTTCTGAATTTTGATTTTGCCCTGGGGGGTCAAATGGGGGTCGAAAAATGATGTTTTTTATGCTAAAAGCCCCGTCTTCTCTGAACTCCTCTTACATTTTACTCAGCAGCCTAATCATCTTTTGGGAGATGGTTGGTGGTGTCATGTAAATGTGCAGTAATGTTTCTGAATTTTGATTTTGCCCCAGGGGTTTAAATGGGGGTCAAAAAATGACGTTTTTTATGCAAAAAGCCCCGTCTTCCCTGAACTTCTCCTACATTTTACACAGTAGCCTAATCATCTTTTGGGAGATGGTTGGTGGTGTCAGGTAGATGTGCAGTAAGGTTTTGGAATTCAGATTTTGCCCCGGGGGGTCAAATGTGGGTCGAAAAATGACGTTTTTTGTGCAAAAAGCCCTGTCTTCCCTGAAGTCTTCCTTAATGTTCCTCAGAAGCCTAATCATCTTTTAGGAGAGTTAGATATTTTGAAAATTATGTAAAACATCAACGTCAAGGGGTAAAAAAGCATCGCATGCTGGGAAACATCTTGAATTCTTATGAGTAATTAATGTACATGTCAAATGTGAGAGTGATATCTCATCTCAATCAAAAGTTATAAGCAAATGCAACATTTTTGAAAAGTAGGTTAGGCTTGACCGCTTCAAGGTCAAGGTCACAGAGTAAAAGTCATGATTTATTTGGAAAGGTCTTATCACAGGTAATAATATACATGCATTATGATATGAATGCCCTAACTTTTCGCTTTCAAGATGATGAATTTATAACAATTTAATTTTTTTGCAAGTAGGTCAAACTTCTAGGTCACATGTAAAAAAAAAAAACCATGCCATTCTCACAGGTAAATACTAATACATAAGTTTAATATGAATGTCTCTTCTCATTCAGTAGATATGACCGTGATGACCAAGGTTAAATTTATTGAGACAGATGGACAGTCTGACATACAAATGTACATATTTCTATATGAATTGGGTAAAATTGGCCCAGTGGTTCTAGAGAAGTTAAAAATGTAAAAAGTTTTCAGACAAACAGATGGACGATACGTCACGACAGACGTTATATGCTAAGGAAACCAGAAAAGCTCAAATGAGTGTTTTGAAAGGGTTACAATGGTTGCAGTATTTGAAAAGCTGTTTTTTTCATGCAGAGATATGCATGACCAACATATTCATGTTTTATATTTTCTTTAGTAATTTGTGTTTGTTGTGAATACATCTCTCTTGGGAATTTTTCCCACATATGGTGACACCACCAAATAATAATGAAGACAAGATGTGTTTGTGAAACACTAATGTCCCTGTATGGAAGCCTATGGCGAAGGTTGAAGTTTCTCAAATATATGTCAAACTCAAAGGTCAAGGTCAAAGGGTTCAAATTGTTAGTATCAGAAGAAAGTCTTGTCACAAGGAATGCAAATGTGAAATAAAGAAATCCCTAGTAATTCCTGTTCAAAAGTTAATTGCCAAGGTTAATTTTTTTTTTAAGTGGTTCAAACTCTAGGGTCAAGGTCAAACATATTTATACCTGTTGACAGTTCACAATGAATACACATGTTAAGCATTAAAGCCCTAGCACCTACTGATCAAAATTTAGGCCAAGTTTAAAGTTTGGTATTTTTCTTGTAAAAATGTGTATCCTAGGTCAAGCGATCAGGGGTAAAAATTAATGGTACCCAAATAAAAGGTCTTAATTGTCACAAGAAATAAACCTATAAAATGTGGAAGCCATTTGTATAGCCCATCCCACTTAAAACTTATGGGCAAAGTTATAATTTAGACAGACATAATATAAACACAAGAAACAAAATATGTATAATTAGTCAAATGGAAAAAAATATACTATTTAATTGGAATCACAAAATAGATTGTTATTTCAGGGACAGGGAGTGGGTAGGGAGATTGAAACCACCACCCCCCCCCCCCACCCCTGGAATTTGCTTTATTATTTAAACAAGACTTAAGACTATATATATACTGAAGCAAATAAAAAATGACTTTGGACATCCTCCCCCTAACTTAGAAAACATTGACCACACTATCATTGTTTTTATTTTGTTTATTTTTTTTCAGTTTTTTTTCTCCTGCTTGTCAGGAAATTCTGGGCTGGAATTTTTTGACTGAGATGTGAACCCTCCTCCCTACTCCTGAAAAAAAATTCTGGATCCGCACCAGTATTGGCAGTAACTGAATGTCACATCGACAACGGGAGATAACTTCACAATATGAAATTCGTCTAGTGTGGCATGCGATGATCTTTGACCCTTTTTGAACTTTAACCTAATCGTTCGGGTTTATTTTACCCCCCACTATACTTAAACTTGTACTTACCGACTGCCATAGGTCTCGTCAACTTCATGAAATATAAATCCAATTATAACACAAAATGAATTAATCCAATGCACACCAGACTGCAGCCATGTGCTAATTCCATTTGGCACACCTCGGCCGATTCCGTCACCTTATCAGATGAAGTGGGAATCGGCCGAGATGTGCCAAATGGTGTTTAATCTAAAAATATGATAATGGGTGATGCAACGTGATGTGATGTAGAAATTTACATGTTAACATGTATAGTACAAGAACAAATTTTAAATTAATTCATAACAAACGATGTTTTAACAAAACTAGCCTATTCCAAAAAGTATGTGCTGTGTGATTGTAGTGTCGGGGGGGGGGGGGATTAGTAAATTTAAAAAGGTCCTATTATGAGCAAAACATTTATCAAAATCTAATTTACATCATTAATAGAATTCAAACTGGTATATAATGAATTAAGCATGTAAAATAAATATAAGAGGTTCTGAGTTATAGGTCACAGGGTCTGAGAATTTCATACTCAATTTGATGAATACATGTAAATTATAGAATTATTTTGACTTTTTCCTTGGAAAGCCACCCAATATGTAGGAGCGTGTATTTAGAGGCAAACACCTTAGTGCGGGTATTACTGTCTCATGACAGCATCTAGTTTAAAAATATAATGAAATACAAGATATTTTGTATTTTAAATTTTCTATCTGTAATGTAGTTAAACATTCATTTAAGAAATGTTTTTAAGTTTTGTGTGAGTTATTGGTGTGTGAATCATACAGACTTGTCACCTATGCATCTTCATAAAGCGCGTTAGTGCTTTAACTTCATGAAAAATATGCCTACGTGCAAGTCTGTGTGATTCACACACCAACAATTCATACTAAAGTTAAAAACATTCCTTGTATTTACATTTTACAAGTTTGAAAGCACCAAAAATACACTCAATATTTGAATTTCTTGCTGCCCTTTATGGTTATACTTTTTCTAACATCGTTGTAGTCTTTATTGTGACGTCACGTTAACACACCTTTCTCCGTTAATACATGTATTTCTACGCGTGAGTATACACAAAAATGGTATTCAAATCAATTTCACAGTTGGCTTAGTAGAAAAACACAGCAAATGTAAATTTTATAATTTGTATTTCAAAATTTACCTTTAATTTTACAGATGCCAACACAGCATTTGATTGAGGATGGTAGTTTGCCAATCTTTTATGCCAACAAACTTCAGTATCTGAATTTTGGCCGACCAGTCATTGTACTTAGTATCCTTGACCTCAGCACAATATTTAAAATGTATTCAGTTGATTGTGAAATAGCTATACCATTTACAAGTTCCTTTTTAGATAAATTTATTATTTGCCTTGACTTCCTTATTAGATGCCTATGAGCTGTATATGTTTCACCTTGCCTACCATCTCGTCAATCCGAGTGTTCAGCGACACAACTGTAACTGGAGTAACATAACTGACTCTCTGTACCCTGTACTGATTGATGATTACCTGAATTATTTCTTGCCATTGAATAAAGACAGTCTCCCTAAGATGCCCACAGTCCAAGCAGTTGTTCGTAGTCCAGTTGTCCACTCTCCAATGGCAGGGTAATTACATGTAGTCAGCAACGCCATGGAAATAAGATGGAGAGATATTTAAAAAATGTGAGAATTTGACAAAATGCTTTTTACAAAAAGTTATTAATTATTCCCCCTTTTACAGGAAGTCCTTTAACATGCCCTCCTCTCCGCCTTCCCCACAGCGACCCAGTCTACTGAAGTCGAGCTTTGTGTCAGCCCAGAAGCAGCACGCCCAGACAGCAGCAGTGATAACTCAAGGGGAGACAACTGAGACCTACCGATCAGACACTCTCATACAGGTAGGGGGTGTGACAGTCCATTAGGGGACATGACTGTCCAGTAGGGGGCGTGACAGTCCAGTAGGGGGCGTGACAGTCCAGTAGGGGCCATGAGTCCAGTAGGGGGCGTGACAGTACAGTAGGGGTCATGACAGTCCAGTAGGGGTCATGACAGTCCAGTAAGGGGCGTGTCAGTCTAGTAGGGGTCTTGACAGCCTAGTAGGGGACGTGACAGTCCAGTAGGGGTCATGGCAGTCCATTAGGGGTCATGGCAGTCCATTAGGGGTCATGACAGTCCAGTAGGTGTCATGACAGTCCAGTAGGGTTGTGATAGTCCAGTAGATGTCATGACAGTCCAGTAGGGGTCCTGACAGCTCAATAGAGGTCATGACAGTCTAGTAGGGGTCATGACAGTCCAGTAGGGGTCATGACAGTCCAGTAGGGGACATGGCACTCCAGTAGGGGGCATGGCAGTCCAGTAGGGGTCGTGACAGTCCAGTAGGGGTCATGACAGTCCAGTAGGGGACATGGCACTCCAGTAGGGGGCATGGCAGTCCAGTAGGGGTGGTGACAGTCCAGTAGGGGTGGTGACAATCCACAGTTTGCATCAACAAATCAGGTTTCAGGGCTTTCAGGAAGATTAGAAACAGGCAGTACAAAGATAGGGGTATTGCAATTTTAATTAACGTCTTACCGAATTTCTCTCCATCAAAAATTGTGGCTTATGCAATCATGATTTCATCTTGGTAAAAATACTAGACACTGGCAATTTTTGAAAGGCCTGTGTTTAGAACATAGAATACCTGTGCTAACCTGTGGTGTAAGTGGATATGTATTCAGACCTAAAAGAAATGTTTTTGTACTTGTAGGTGTTTACTGAGTTTTGGTTGAACCAGAATCCCATCAGCATTGACCGACAATCATTCTCTCATACAGCCTCGGTAAGCTTTTGACTACAGTTCATTATTTTCTTCCTTTCAGTGCATTTGGCAGTTATCACATGAAAATTTCTTAGGATTTTTTAAAGCTAGTACTGTGTGCAAAAACAATCAAATAATTTCTTTTTTAAATTTTGAATTATTAAGTCTGTATTACATGTAATTAAATATAAGTATTTTATCTGACAAGCCACCGTATGACCTGAGATTACAAAGAGGACCGTACCAATACTGGTTTGTGAGTACTTTGGTACACTTCGCTGTAGTCTTGTTATCCTGTAAACCAGCTTGGCTTGTACATTTATACAGTTTTAAGTTTTGATTAAAACAGAATTTTTGAAAGAAAGATATGTGGTTTTAGCTTAGGGAAAAAATATCTTGAATTGTTCTAATGGTGTATGATATTGGATGGACAATATTCATGTATACCTGTCTGTATACAAATGTACCATTTACATGCTATGCATGCAATAGTTGTTGAGAAAATTTTGCATGTTTTCTATTTTCTTGAAAGGAAGTACAGTAATGCTTATTATACTAAAAACCAAATTTAAAAATGTCAAAACATACAAGCAGTGTTGAACTTCATAGATTACCTTGAGCATGGCAATCCAAATGTTATTGTGTTTGAGTCTGAAATTGGCATGAATACATTGTTACAGGAGTTTATAGCTTTCAACGTATAAATCACCTGAAAAAGAGAGTAAGTGTAACTACTACATTACATAACATGAATGAAAGTGTTTTTTTTTCACAGTTCAGTTTTAATAGATGAAGTACATGGCATTGCATACATTTTATTTTTGAATCTCATTAATGTGTAAGATAATTTTCAGGAGAATTTCATGCCCAGCACGAACCATGTACGCCTGGTGAGAATGCTGGTGAAACACGTACATAACTTTGTCAACACCGCTAAACCTGAGGTAGTCTCCTCACCCTATCAAAGTCACATCACTTCAACACTAGACGAGTTCAAAAAGTCAGTACAGCCTACAACAATAATTACTGTTTTCTGTTTTTAAAATACGTATTCTTAATTTCTTTTCTGTAGTTAAGTTTGAAAAAAAGTCTATATAAAGACCAAAAAAAAATTCCAATGAATTCAGCAGCATGTAATTCTTGGTTTCTAATCTTTAAATCTTAAGAAAAAAAAATATCCTTCATTACAGTTACAAAGATAAAAGATGCACATTTCCTCTAGGCTAATATACTGCAAAAGTACTTTTTTCTGAGTGGTTTTAATTTATGCTATGTACGTGGTCACAAATTTTCTGCGGAAATTTGTCCAAGCATACTTAATATAAATGTATTGCAAATAGTGACAGTCTAAGAAATCTGCGTAATTTTCTACCAGCGGATTTAACAGAAATTGAGATTCCACGGAATTATAACTCCATGGAAAAAGTACGTCTACAGTATATCTGATACATACAGGTTTTCATTAATCAAGATTTTTACACAGGTCCCTGATACCGTACATAATACAGAAGAAACTCTATACATTCCTCCGGCATGGCTTTGATAGATGGCCGCTGGACTGTTCCTTCAGACTTGTAAGTTGAAGATTGTTTAAATCAATTAAGGATTCGAATTATAAATATTTTTCTTCTCATTTGCTACCATGGAAGAGAGTTATTTATTAATATTTCCATTGCTATTTGTTTTCTCTGTGATAACTCTTTTAAAGTTAGTAGAGTTGCTTTCTTGATCAATCTACTGGTATGTATTGTAAATTTCACAATGAAGTAGGTCAGGAGCTAAGGAGGCCTAATATGCATGTAAATCTCATGCGGCTGTCTTTGTGTTTGACATCAGTGGGTGAGGACTATTGAAATGGACATAGGAGGCCTCGTGTAATTTAAATTGATTAGTCTGTATTTTTAAAACAGACCTTTTGTAGTTGTTAGATTGAAATGTAAATTCTGTGCCTCAAAAATTTTATACTGGATGGGAAGTGTTCCTATTATTGATGTCTCGACTTTACATTTAAAATTTGTTTCTTGTAGCTTTTAGAGACATGGTTGACCTACATTCAGCCCTGGCGGTACATTTACAGTAAGTCCCAGACAGGACGGAGGGACAGTGATGTTGGAGACCATAAAACAGTGGAGGAAAAATGGTCAGTATAACAAAACACTCAATCAGTAGAAATCAATAAAACAGTGCAGGAAAAGTGGTCAGTTTATCAAAACACTCTATTGAAATGCCAGGAAAGGAAGAAAATCATTCAGATTTTCCTTAAAGGGAAATATTGAAAATTTTTGAAAAAAAAACATTTTTAAGAATCAGAGAAGTACATGTATGCTTACCGGTAAGTGACTGAAGTAATAGTACATGTACAATATTATAGTAATCCTTAAAATACTTATCTACTCTGTACATGATTGTAGGTTTCCCTTTGTGGAGGATAATCTGTTGTTTTATACAGTTCTATATCAGGAGTTTACACAGAGGGTGTTCAGGATGGATCTTACTACACAGTTCAATGCCTGCATGCTCTACAGGGCAAACAAGGTACTTGTATATAAATTAAAGAATTTTACATATAAGGCAGGTATTTAAAATGCATTGAAGAAATTTGATTTAATATCATTATTTTTCTTGTCATTTGGAGGGCTTAATTCAAAATAATAACTTTTATTACACTTAAATCACTCTTCAACTCTTGCAGTGCATTAAAGAGGTAGTCGTTTTACTTGGGTAATCAGTTACTTGCATTCAGTTTTATTTGCATTAATCTAAATGTACATGTATGCAGCTAATTCAAAGTTCAGTGTCATACATTGAAATGATGGAGATATTTTTATTAGTTTTAACCTCATTTTGACCACTTTGTGTTAACCTGTCAGACAGTTTATGAGATAAACATTTACGATATGTTTGAAATTCGTTAATACCTTGAAGAATGTTCTGATATAAGTGGAAAATTTGTTCATACTACAGTTTTTGGATTTCTGAAATTTTCTTTTGATATAAAATATTACATGTTTAAATGCACATACAGTGAATCAGATATAGAAGAAATGAAATTTATTTACAGTTTTATCATGTTGATAAAAATTTCCAGATATGTTAACTTTATCTATAACATTAAAATGATTGATCCCTTATATTCACATCCTATTTTGTAACTTACATTGAAATTTACATGTACATGTATTTACAAGAAATTGTTATTTTACAGGTATATAGTCTGCCAAACTTATCAAACATGGTATTTAGAGGTATAAACTTTTAGATTCAATTTTACATTGGATGTTTCTGATTTCAGACTTTAAGGAAAAGGGAAAAAAATATGAAAATATTGTGTTAAATTTTTATTTTAAAAGGTACATTGAAATATTGTCATAAAGTTTCTTCAAATCTTGCAATTAAAAGTTGAATTGTGTATGGTTCTGTTTAGAAGGAGCTTGTTATTGTAAAAATTTGTAATTATAACACTCTGATAGTAGTAGGAACATATAATCTGATGTCTCAGGTGAATTCAAATTTAAAGCAGCTACAGTTCATAATGACCCTTTATTTTGATGTTTAGCTGAGAGGGAGATGTGTAGTGCTATAAGGCTGGGTCGTCCTGGGAGTCACGACCTGGGAGGGAGCTATATCTCCCCGGAGACCAGCGTGTCCCTCCACTCACAGATCACAGAGCTGGAGAAACCTGGCTTCCAGTACTGCAGAATGTACAGCGAAGAAATGATACATATGGTCAGTGGTAGATTTTACTTGTACAGAAAAAAAAGGATGTGGAAAGATACAAAGAATGTAGTCCAAGGTTGGCTATCTAAGCTCTGTGTTATCTTAAAAATATATCAAATCTTTCTTTTAGGAAACATTATGTTAAAATACATGTAAATCTGGATTTGTTTTAAGTAGTTCTAAGGGATCTAATAAATCTGTGTGTCTTCCTTCAGCCTTTCTCCAACCACAAATCTATATAATAAAGTGAAGTCTCAATTTGGCTATACGAGACAAATGCTAGGATATCATATCACATGAATTATCATATGAATTAACTTGTCCTTTGACTTTGTGCCTCCAAAGTCTCTATATGTTTTCTTTTAAATGTTCTGTACCATTATTATACAAATATGAATTCTTTACATGCTGATCAAAGGTTGTTCAATATAAAATTGTGTTGATCATTAGATGGCCTGAAAGGTAAATTGAGTGAAGTTGACATTATAAAATTCCTTTCAGATGAAAGCTATTCTAGGACACATAGAAGTTGCCAAGCAAACCCTCATAGCTTATGAAGAGTCTGTCAAGAAAACCAGAAAATCGGGACTGGCAGCCATATTGGATGTTTCATCTTGGTTCCAGGAAGACCAGAGCATGGGGGATATGTCCCCGTCAGAGGTTAAAAAAGTGCAGTCGTACCTGGACACAGCAGCCTCTAACATATGCTATATATTTGAGGTAGGGAGGATTTTTTACTCATGGATTATTGCTTACAAAGAATGATAAAAAATTGGATACTGTTAGTTTACTCTTCGTATATATTATATACTGCACTAAATAATTTCTGAAATTTTCTCATCCTTTTCACCCTAGATGCAGGAGTCCTTACTTACATTTAATTTTGTTTTATTAAAGCATTTTGGTTATTTGTAGATTGAAACTCATCCTTATGCTTCAAAACAAATGTCTTCACCGAATCAATTTGAGCAGTCCTCCTTTTTGGAGAGCTCTTTATTGTCGAATACAATACCAGACTGTGAAGAAACAGAGGATGGGTTCACATTGACACCACATGGGAGATACCAGGTCTGATTTACTCCTCATCAAATGATATTAAGTAATATACATTGATGATAATGTAATACTATTTTATTGATCATTAAAACTTAAAATGATTTTAGTTATTTTATTGAATATTATAAATGTCCTTCATCTTGTCAAGATTTGAATAAAATATGAGACTCAAGCAAAACTATTGTGTCTTAAAACTTTTAAAGGAATAAAAACATATGGTATTTAAGAGTATTTTGAATATTTAAGAATTTGCTTAACTTCACAAAACCTTTTTGTTTAGTTGAAGAACAAGATGAGGAAGTTTGATGTTGTATATCAAGGTGACCCAGATTTACAGCCAATCAGAAGTTTTGAAAATGCCACATTAGTTCGTCTGTTTCATCAATTCTGTAACTTCATTAATACTCAGGTAGGTTGTTTCACCTGAGTCACACAGGTGGTTATTTTTATAAGAGTTTCCATCTGTCATTGTGCATTATTATATACCTAACGTGTATCACTCAGTTTTACTGTTAATTTTATGCTATCACGTGACGTAGTGATCCGACTTTCCAGATCACCACACTGTGGTTTTCTGAATCCATATCACCACTCTCTGAAACTGATGATGTAGTACGCAGAAACATGACGTTATTTTTCTTGCGTGTTAAAAAGTCCCTTGTTATTATGCTTTGTTTAATGGATTAATATTATAAAATTGATCTCTAAAGTTTTATTTTGATATATTTTGCTAGTTATAAGGGGGTATATAATAAATTTATCATTATAACAGTAACTTGATCCGAAGAGCCGCATCACGTCTCGTTGACAGGCGCGGATCATCAGATCAAACTCGATGCTTCGCGTCTCGTTAGATCTGATGATATGCGCCTGTCAACTCGATGTGATACTACCCTTCGGATCAAGTTACTGTTATAATAATATATATTTATTAGCAGTGTAGACGCTTATAGGGGTAATATGGAAATATGTGGGGTCCTTGAAAAAATGCATACATGTATTGGGCAAGGAGTAAGGTGAGCCTAATATGCATTTTTTCAAGGATCTCATGTATTTCCGAATTACCTCTCTAAGTGTCTACGTAACGAATTTATATTTTCAAAGATTTTTAAAATAAAATTCATTTTCTCTGAGTTCAGAAAATCATTCTGAAACAATTGTTTAAATTGTGAGGTCCTTTGATGTTTATTTGACATTGGTTATTAAGCTCATTGATTACTTGAATGAAAATAATATATTGAATATGATCTGGACAGTATGGCATATGGAGGGTCATATTGATTAGATATTGATATATGTGGTGAGTAGGTCATGATGAGGGGACATATTAACAATATAACGTCGGTAGGCAGCATAATATGGTTTAGTATGTAGTATTCTTCTCAACAAATGAAAATTCAAAATTTTTATCAGAGGCAGGATAATTTATTTTCTGTCATCCAATTCGATAGACTGTACATGATGTAAACCTTGATTACGTAATTCCAAGCTTCTTTTCTGTCACTACTGATCAGTCTTTGCCACTCTTGGTATATTGTGTCTGGCTATAGGGCTATAAGGTATTTTTATAGTCACTAGTTTATGGGAACTGAAAACAGGGGCCAGTATATCCAAAATTAGCATGCTCTTCAACATTCTCTTTTTATGTTCAAATCCTCTTTACCTTTGAAAAGTCTCAGACATAAATGCAG